CAGGTCAGACCCCTCAGGTCACCTCCACCTCTCTGCTCCAGACTTACTCCTCTCTGCCTTCGCCAGTGCCCTTGGCTGTAACTCCTTCATCTCTGGGACCCTAACACAATGGCTCTTGCCCCATTTGAGAATCTGATGAAAGCTGTGGGCCCTCGTTCTAGAAAAATGTGTTCAATGCATACTTTTCAACTCATTATTTTGATAGGATTTCAGACACAGAGAGGAGTTGCAAGAATTGTGCTAAGAACTCCTAGATACCCTTTGCCCAGATTTGCCAATTGTCAGTGTTTGGTCACATTAGTTTTATCACTGGCTTCCTCCCTCCCCTCTCTACATGTATGTGCACATATTACTGTTTTCTGAACCACTTGAGAGTAAATTATAGACATGATACTCCTTTACCTGTAAATATTTTAACACATACACTTTTGAGTCCCTTGAAAGTCCTTTATGGACTCCTAGAGGTTCATGGGTCCCAGCTGAAGCCTGCTCTGAATGTCCCATCTAAGACTCAGCTCTTCCCCACTGTGACCATGGGCCCCATTCTCTCCCTCAGGAGGAGCCAGCATCATTGCCTGCCCTCTCGGGCCCTCTCCCAGACCCATCCCGTGGTATGTACAGAGTTCTGTCCCTACTCTCACAATCCTTGGGATTGCTTCTGGGAAGGGCGTAAGGAATGGGCGACTGGAACTCAACACTCCTTCCTCACCTGCAGAGCTCCAGAGCTGCACCTCCCTGGAGCAGAGGAGCTGGGCAGCCTTCTCCACCTCCTCATCTTCTTCTGGAACCCCTCTATCTCCTGGAAACCTATTTTCCCCTGGAAACCTGTTTTCCCCCAGAACCCCTGTTTCCCCAAGTCCCATCTTCCCTATCACTTCTCCCCCATACTCCAGCCCCTCTCTATTCTCCCAAGTGTCTTCAAATCTCTCGCCACACTCCCCTGGCTCTCCACTTGCGTTCTCCCCCAGTGCTACCCAGGTCCCTGACCCAGCCTCTCATTCTCTGCAGAGCTCTGTCCTCCCTTCTCCACCTGCCTTCTCTCCCAGTGGCTCCCAGGTCACTCTGACTCCTCCTTCCTTTCCCCCCTGCCCCTCCACATCTCCCCTCCCCTCCACCACAGCCGCCCCTCTCCTCTCTCTGGCTAGTGCCTTCTCACTGGCTGTAATGACTGTGGCCCAGTCCCTGCTGTCCCCCTCACCTGGGCTCCTGTCCCAGTCTCCTGCAGCCCCCCCTGCTCCCCTACCCAGTCTGCCCCCACCTCCCCCTGCTGCTCCTTGTGGCCAGGATAGGCCTTCACCTGCAGCGGCTGAGATGGAGAATGAGGTGAGTAGGAAACCAAGAGGGGTGGTTAGGGGCACTTCGTTCTGGATCATTCCCCTCCTCACGGACCCACACTTTGTAGGCCCTGCCAAATCCTGCTCGGCCCCTTCTGGGTGAAGCCAGACTCGAGCCCATCTCTGAAGGTGAGGCTTCTGATCACGGACCTTCCCCCGTCCGTTATTCTCATTTCATATCCTGCCCCTGCTTTCTCTCCCTCCTTCCATGACTCCTTCCTTGTCACTCTACAGAGGGAAAGCCGCAGCTTGTGGGGCGTTTCCAAGTGACTTCATCCAAGGAACTGGCTGAGCCTCTTCCCCTGCAACCAGCATTCCCAGCTCTTTCCAGTTCCCTGAAGCCTCCAACCCCTCAGCTGACCTCGGAGAGCTCAGACACAGAGGATAGTGCTGGAAACGGGCCGGAGGCCAGAGAGGCTCTGGCTGAGAGTGACCGTGCAGCGGAAGGCCTAGGGGCTGGAGTTGAGGAAGGGGACGATGGGAAGGAACCCCGAGTGGGGGGCAGCCCCCCACCCCAGAGCCATCCCAGCCCGGTATGGATGAACTACTCATACAGTAGCCTGTGCCTGAGCAGTGAAGAATCCGAGAGCAGTGGGGAGGATGAGGAGTTCTGGGCTCAGCTGCAGAGTCTTCGGCAGAAGTGAGTCTGGGGAGGAAGGACAAGAGGTAGACTCGGGAGAGCAAAGCGTGTGGCCAGCGCTCATGCTCCTGGTGTATCCTCAGGCACTTGTCAGAGGTGGAGGCCCTACAGACACTGCAGAAGAAGGAAATCGAGGACTTGTACAGCCGGCTTGGGAAGCAGCCCCCACCGGGTATCGTGGCCCCGGCTGCTATGCTGTCCAGCCGCCAGCGCCGCCTTTCCAAGGGCAGCTTCCCCACTTCCCGCCGCAACAGCCTGCAGCGCTCTGAGCCCCCAGGCCCTGGTGAGACTGCAGTGGCCCAGCTCCCATCTTTCCCGGGTCCCCTTCCCTACTGATCTGGCTTTCTTCCAGGCCCTGGGGGTCTGTCCCTTGGTGTGGGGGGACTAGCCCCCCTCTCCCCATGGCCCCTTCCCTCACTCAGTGCTCTCCCTCCCCATCCTGCACCAGGCATCATGCGAAGGAACTCCCTGAGTGGCAGCAGCACCGGCTCCCAGGAGCAGCGGGCAAGCAAGGGGGTGACATTCGCCGGGGATGTTGGCAGGATGGTGAGGGCGGGCCCAAGGGAGGGCGAGCCCAGGGAATGGTAGCTGACCGCAGCTTCACCCTCCTCCCATCCTGGAGGTTTCTTCAGTGTTTTTTCTTTTCCCTCCAGTGAATTCAGAACAGAAGCCATGTGTCTCCCCCACACCAGGGCCCACCATGGAGCTTGTGCTCTCAGAATCTGCGGACCAACACAACTCTGCAAGAAGATCCCAGTACTGAGGGAGTAGAAGGCCAAAGGGGCATGGAGAGTGCTGCTTCATTGTAGGGAAGAGCCAAACATGCGGGAACTATTTACTGTGTGTAGAAGGTGTCAGTTCTGCAGCCTACCATCCTCATGCCTCCACCTCCCCAGCCCAGGGTCAACCACTAAGCAATCCCATTCAAGCCCTGATGCTTCTAGAGGGCACACTCTAGCTGAGCAAGTGTAGGGGGTGTGCTCACACTAGAATTCACAACAGCCAATAAAACTGCTGGAAACTAGGATTCTGTGACACCGTATCTGTTGTGCCTTTAAGAACTGGAGGTAAAGCCTTGTGGGGTACGGCAGGGGAAAATTCAGAAGGGATTCTCCTCACAATGGGAATCAAGGCTTGCAGCTCCCCAGCCTTCTGACTTCCTGCCAGCAGTTTGTGAGGAAACTGCAAGGTCAATGATCCACTCAACCAAACTAAGGTCTCATCCAGACCCCAACTTAGGCCTAGAGAGGCAGGTCCAAGTGTAAAAAGAAGGAAGACTGTCCCTCATCTTTCATCTACCCCTCTCTCTCAGAGTGGGAAAAGGCAGGAAAGTTGGAGTTAGGATGTATTGTTTTTAAGGGTAGAGGACAGAAGAGTGACCTTCCCTCCCCGAAGACATGGTTCAGTCTCACATGGCCCAGTGACCCACCATGATCTCTCCCTTAAATCAAATGGAAAAGATCTCACGGAAAAAGTAATTCTAGTTAAACATTTACAGCTCCCTGGGGCAAAACCACTGCTGCAGCTATGGCCTGTGGAGCTTTCCAACAGTCATGTCATTCGTCAGCCTTAACACACTCATGTGGCTCCAAGAGAGGTGACTCAGTTTATTACTCTCAACCTAACTCCCATCTTTCCTACTTTAGGCTCCAACATTACATAGAGCTGCCACCCCCACCCCCACAACAGCTAAACCCCTGGGAGGTAAAGAGGGTAAAACCACAAAGTCAGAAATCCTGAGAAAAGCCAAGGTCGTATAACTCTCAAACAAAGAAACAAAATACAAGAAGGGCCAGTGACTGGACACAGTCTGTGTAAAGTGGGCAATATTCCCTTGACCTGGCCAAATGCAAAAAATTCTTGGGCTCAATCGTCGTCCAAGGTTGAGGCCAACAATGCTGGGTGCAGGCTTCGACTTCTACAGGGTCATGGGGCATCATTCACCATGTGAAGGGGCTCCAGCAGGTTGGAGACGTGCAGTGCCCATCCGGTTTAGGGTCCTGATGCTCTCGCCAGGGCGCGGGCTCGGGCAGCTTTGGCCTCGTCCTCCAGCTCATCTAGGAAACGCTCCTGGGACACGGAGTAGAAGGTGTAGCCATCTGGGAAAGTGGGTTCAGGAAATCTCTTGGGAGTATGCATATTGCCTTTTCCCAGACTCTCTCCACCACCCTTGTTACTCTCTCACCCTCCCAAATCAGTGATTCGATCTTCTGCCCTCTGCTTTTCTGAGCCCTGACCCCGATTCCGTTATTACTAATAAGTCATATTAAAAGAGCATTTTAAAATGACAAAATAAGGTACCTTAAACGCTTGGCTCGGCATCAGAAATGGCCAAGACTTTCACAGCTCGGGCTCTTTTTAGCACCCCCACATTGCCCTACTACGCGCCTCTGCTCCCCTTCCCTTGTCCCCATATGCCTTCTACTGAGCCTACAGTCTGAACGGATACAAATAGCTAACACCAGGGCCCCGATGCCCAGGCCGGTCACGATGTTCCGGGTCCGCCGCTGTGGCAGACTCTTCTGCCACTGGGCGAGCTGCACCTGCCGCATGAACTGCAGCTGCTCGGGAGTCAGCTTCTCCCGAGTCGGGTCGATGCGCTGAGCCACAGGGCCCTTTCCACTCTTTGCATGGAGAGGATCACCAGCTCCCGGGGCTGCCATGTTGCGGTTCCGCCCTCTGTACTCCCAGGGCGCGAGGGTTGCTGGGAATAGCAGGGGATCCTGGGAGTTGTAGTCCGCGTTTTCTTTCCCGATGCGAGTGCGGCTCTTCGCCTTAGCGGAAGAGCGGTGGGGGCGAAAGGGGAGGTGGCAAGCGGCCGAGCTTTCTGATTGGCTGAGGGGTCCGCGGCCGTTGGGGCGGGAAAAGGCTGTGGAGGGCTCGAGGCCTCAGTGGGCATTGGGCTTTCCTCGCCCTTGAGGTGAAGACAAGCACACGGAAGGCGAAAGATTCTGTCTGGAGTGAAGCTAAGGGGGTGGGTTTATGGATCCAGTGAGTCGCCCAGGTGTCCCCCGAGGCTTCTGAAGATGGACAGACCTGTGAGGTCAAGATTGGCCTCCCTCAGTGATTTCCAGTTCGGAGCTGTCGCCACAGAGACGATCGAAGACGCTCTGCTCCACCTGGCGCAGCAGAATGAGCAAGCGGTGCAGGAGGCTGCCGGCCGGACGGGCAGCTTCAGGGAGACCCGGATCGTGGGTGTGGACGCCGGGCTGGGGAACGAGTTTCATGGGAGACCGGGGGCACCCGTCTTTGAGTCACCGACCTGGAGATTGCGTTTACCTTATTCATCCAAATAAGTGTTGTTAGTAACTACCAGATGCTAGGTCCAGGGGATGTGGTAACGGACGAGATCCCGCAGCACCCCACCCTTGACTTCAGCCCCTACAGAGTGCTTACCCACACCACTTGGGGGAGAGCGGGGTAGAACGGAGATGCAGATTAGAACAAATCTGTAACTGACAACAAGGACGGTTAGATAAGTGACATGCCAGATAAAAGAAGCTTTTGTGGGAATCGAAAGGAGTGATAGGGAGAAGTGAGGGTAAGAAGAATTCAGGTAGACCTTGAGGAAGGATGACATTTTGGTTGGCGAAGGTGGAGGAGGGGGACAGCTTTTCTACCAAAAGGGAATGATAACCGAGTAAAGCTATGGACATAGAGAAGCTTGGGGTGAGTGTGGAAGAAGAGTTGAAATTAAGACCAGAAAAGTTTGGAGACATTCCATGTGGAATGCCAAGGGGAAGAGTTTATACATAGCTTACTAGGGAAACAGGACGGCATTGAAGGTTTTCAAATATGGGAGTGATGTGACTTTAGCCTTTGCCCTAGAAAAAGATTATGTTGGCTCTGATGTAAAGAATGGTTTGGAGTAGAGAGAGAGAGAGGAGGGAGGTAGACCAGAGGAGTCTGTGTTAGTAGTTAGGCAACAGGGCAGACAGAATGACAAGGGAGGATGGATTAAAAACATTTCAGAGATAAAATCTGGAGCTCTGCAGTGGGTGAATTTAAGAGGTGTAAAAGGTGAAGATGACTGTGCCAAAGGGTTGAGCCTAAGAGAATGGGAGTATATGGTGCTGTTAAGAGAAACACACACATTCGTTTAAAAAACAAAACAAAACAAAAAAACCAGGAGGAAACGTGACCTTTGTTTGGGAAAGTAACAGATTTGGTTTTGGACCTACTGAGTTTCAAGTGCTTGTAGAACATCTAAAGTAGGGTTTCTGGTGAGCTGTTTAAAAAATAAGTCAGAAGAGAAGTCAGAACTGGAGATAAAGTTTTAGGAGTTATCTTCATAATGATACTGTTGAAAACTGGCCGAGAATGAGTCCGAAAGGGAGAAAAGAGAAGCAGGTCAAGGTCAAAATGTTCCCTAGGAGACATTTTGTTTTCAGGCAATTGGAGTAGGAAGAAGAGTCATGAAGGGAACTAAAAATATGGTTGGGCAGGAAGGAACAGAACCCAGACACCTTGGGAAGCCAAGAGTTTCCAGAAGGATGACGGTCAGCTGTTTCACATGCCTCAGGGATATGAACGATGGAATAAAGGTTGCAAAAGGGTGATGTTATTTAATAATTTGGACATAGTTGCTGGCCTTTGAGATCATTGTTGTAGCAAATTGGGAAAAGTAGAAGCCAAACTGCAGAACAATAGGGAATTCACGAGGAAATGGAAGCAGCAGGTTTAAGCCAGCCTTTCAAGAAGGTTAACAGTGCTGGAAACTAGGGAGATAAAGAGCTGTAGTTTAAGAGGATAGAAGGGGAGGGTCTTTCAGTTAATAGATGTGTTTATTAGTGCAGGATGGAGAGCCAGTAGGGCGGGGAGGCATAATCGTTCTGCATTGCTCCTAACCCTACCTCAGTTTTCTTGGCAAGTTAAACTAGAAAATAGAAACAATCGCCCAGATAATTCAGACCCAAACCAAAACAAAACCAAACAACTGTATACTCACAAACAAAACAGAAAGGAAGCCTAAACTCCAGCAAATAAAAGGACTAATAACACACAATTATGTGTTCTAGGGTATTTTGCTTAACTGCTTAAGCTAATCTTCTTATTGGCCACTGCTAGCAGGGTTTTAGTTTCTGTAACAGTAAAGTTTTGTACATATGTGTAACACATCAAACGGACTGTTCAGCTTTGTGCTAGCATGACTTCCATGTATCTAAGAAAGTCGAACTTTCTCTGAAGACACATGGTCATTCGACTGTGCATAATTCTTTACTGATCAGTGCTAAAAGTCCCAAGTTCTACAGGAGCTTCCTTTGTTAAGAACTAACATTTACCCTTGTTTCCACCCTCTTAATGAGATTGCAAACTAAACAGAATTCTATCTGGGGCTGTTCTTTCAAAGAGAAACAGAGGCAGCCTAAGATCTTGCCAAGGTATCTTGCCCTTCCGACCTTCCCATTGACTTTGCCCCCCCTCCTCCAAAGTGGGCTATGTTCCCTGATCTAGGGGATATTTCTTCCAAACTAGCCACTCCATAGTAACAAAATTGCTCCTGGGGAGAAGTTCAGCCACCACAGATTCACCCAACAAACTGGTGGTGGGGAGATGGTGTCCAGCTGTAAGGTGAATCGTGTTTATAAAGCAATGGGAGTTCTCTAGAGGGCGGTTACTAAACAAACACTGTTGTAAAGAATACTGAAGCTCCAGGAGGGCCTTTTTCTGTTCCTGTCAACATTCCACTGAAAACAGAATATAGGGGTTAGGGTTTTTAATCCATCCAAGAATCTCCCTTGAAGCTGGAGGTTCCCAGCATGGTGTAGAGGCCAACTCGGCCAGCTGGTATGTTTGTGTGTAGCTGGCCAAGCCTTTTATCAGCTGGGACCCACAGGAAGGCTCAAGGGTCACTGAGGGGGCTTGGGAAGCCCTTGTCTTTGGCGTTCAGTCAGTCTCCTTTTCATGCCTCTGATCTGCTTGTTGGCAGGAAAGGGAACTCAGCTCAGCTTGGGTTGTTTGAGTCCCCTTTCTCACCCCCTGACCCTCTTCCCTTGGCCCCCTCATGGCTTTTACATAATGCCAGGAGTTCACAGAGTGGTTTTGGTTGCACCTTGTGAATTAGTCTCTTCTCTCTTGTTTCGGCAGAGTTTGTTTTTCTCCTGTCTGAACAATGGTGTCTGGAGAAATCCGTGAGCTACCAGGCTGTAGAAATCCTAGAAAGGTAAAGCCCTGGGCGTAGGCCTGTGTGAGTGGTACCTCTTAGAAGGACTAACATACCCTTAAAACATCTTAAAAAGGAAAAAAAAAAAAAAAACACGACAGTCGCCCTTCAGCACGAGACCTGCTTTGGCACCCTCTACTGCTTGCATATGTCCAGTTTCTCAGCCAGGGACTGAGACTAGAGACTGGAGATAGGGCAGAGCTTGCTGCACAAACTTCCTTTAGTTTGAGTGAGTGTGGATTGACTACTTTCCCCTTCCCTCCCTTCTAGGTTTATGATTAAGCAGGCAGAGAATATGTACCGGCAAGCCACGGTCCAGCTGAGTGAGAAGAAGGAGCCTCAGAATTGGAAAGCTCTGAAAGAGCAGCTTTCCAGCAAGTTTATCCTGCGTCTTGTGTCGTGTGTTCAACTGGCGAGCAAACTTTCCTTCCACTACAAAGTAAGGAGCGGGGGTCCCTCCTGGGCACCTGCGTGGTAGCAGAAACCAGCTCGTCCGCAGGCGACTGTGAGAAACCTCCTCTTAAGCTAGGTGTTATGACTCCTGTAGAAATTCCAGAGTGCAATTATGCTTCCTAAATAAGCACACCTCCTACACACACACACACACACACACACACACACACACACACAGGTAGTTCTTTAATAGCCTGCGGTTCTGTTTCCAAAGTGTAATGGCTGGACAGATGCCATCATTTATGCAGGTCACCTTTCCTCCCCTTGGACTCAAGGACAGTTTACGTAAGATGCCTGAACTGCCAACAGGCCTATCAGTGTTACAGACAGTTACATTTATAGGGGATAAAATGTTTCCATACCCCTACCCGATGCCTGTGTGGTAAAATATCATTCCCGCCACAAGGATTCACTGTCTTCTGTGGCCAGAGGCTGCACTCGGTGCCATGGGTACAACAAGTGAAAATATTGCCAGCACCCTCAAGGAATTTATTATCCAATGGGAGAGGACACGCAGGCAGATAACGTGGGAGCGCGCGCTGATGAGTGTAAATACAGACAGCTATGGTGTACCTCCTTGGCCTTGGAAAGTCAAGCAAGTGTATTTAAAGAAAACGACTTCTTGAAGGGGGGTAGGTAGGCGTGGGTAGGAGATGGGTGGATGCTAAGAAAGAGGGAGAGGCGTTCAGGAAAGCGGGGAGAGAGGAAAGGGAGGAGAGGGAGATCCAGACACAGGAAGCCGCACGTGTACAGGCTTGGAGAGCTGGACGGTCTCAGGAACTGCAAGTAATCCTGTGTGACAGGCGTGCGGCGTGAGGGGCCAACTGCCAAGAGAGACGGCGAGATGAAGGCATGGGCTGGACTGAAAAGCTTTGTATGCTATGCCAAGATGCGTGACCTTTAGTCTGACACCCTTCTCTCTCTCTCACTGTTTTGTTTTTCTTTGCTCAGATCATCAGCAACGTTACAGTCCTGAATTTCCTCCAGGCTCTAGGGTATGTGCACAGTAAAGAAGAACTGCTGGAGTCAGAGCTTGATGTTTTGAAGTCCCTGAACTTCCAGATCAATCTGCCCACTCCCCTGGCATACGTGGAGATGCTTCTGGAGGTGTTAGGTATCTACTGTGTCGGGGGTGTGGGTTGGCATCTTCGTAGAAGGCAATAAGCATGTGCCCAGGGCTTTGGAAGCAGTGGGCAGAACCGGCCAGTGGGAAACGGCAGGAAGCCTGGGATGACCAAATCCCATGTTCCTTCGGTACCTGTCAGGGACGGAGACTCAGGTGTCAGTGCTGGCTGGTCTCACTGGGCACTCTCTTATTACAGGATCAATGAGGTGATTTTCTAGAGAGGGATGAGATAAGAGGGGAGCAAGCAAATATATTCTAATTGTGTGTACACGGCAGATGGAGATTTCTCTATCTTTCCCTTTATCCTTTAAAATTGACCTCCAACTAGGGGCGCCTGGGTGGCTCAGTGGGTTAAAGCCTCTGCCTTCAGCTCAGGTCATGATCCCAGGGTCCTGGGATCGAGCCCCGCATCGGGCTCTCTGCTCAGCGGGGAGCCTGCTTCCCCCTCCCTCTCTCTCTACCTGCCTCTCTGCCTACTTGTGATCTGTCTGTTAAAAAAAAAAAATTGACATCCATCTAAAGAGGTTTCCTACAGTAGAAAACATTAGCTCAAGAGCTTTGTGTCACACGTCAACAGTGATAGTGATCAGAGAGGACCCACGTACCGCTCTTTGCCATGCCCATACTCCATCTAGGATACAATGGCTGCTTGGTCCCAGCCACACAGCTGCACGCAACCTGCCTGACCCTGCTCGACCTTGTCTATCTCCTGCATGAACCCATATATGAGAGCCTGCTGAGGGCTTCCATTGAAAACTCTGTACCCAGTCAGCTGCAAGGGTAAGCCAACTCCTTCGGGTAGGCCCCTTCCAGAAACAGTGTTTGAAGCACACCTCGAGAACATACCACGGGAATGGAATTTACCCAGTAAGGCATCCAGTCCACAGATAACCTGCACAGGTCACTGGTTTTAATGAACTCCTAGTACGTTGCTTGGATGCAGATGACTGAGCCCCATCCGCAAAAACCCGAAAGGATTTTGCTTTTAAATTTAAATGACTGCAGGTAATTAATATACTTTCTTTCATAGTTCTTCCTTTACTGCTGTTTCGATTTGAGATTACTGGACTGCCTTTTAGTCGCTTAGGAAAAAAAGACAGTCACAGGGTTGCGACTTAGACAAAAGGGTTTGATTACTGTAAAGTCAGACTGGTAAAAAGGCTCACAGTTACATGTGTTAGGGAGGCAGATGGGACAACAAAGGCCGATAAACCAGTCAGAAGGCTCAGGTTTTGATCATAGGTGGGTTGGGGGAGGAGGCCAATTAGCCATCACTTGGGCATTTCCTTCTATATCTAAAAAAGTCCAAGATGATCAACATAAACAACTCATAGGTGAAGTCCCATGGCCCTCGGATTTGGAAGGTCAAGTTCCATTCAAGCTCCAAAATTAATATGGTTTTAATCACTCAGGGAAAAGTTTGTTTCAGTGAAGGAAGACTTCATGCTGTTGGCGGTAGGAATCATTGCGGCGAGTGCTTTCATCCAAAACCACGAGTGCTGGAGCCAGGTGCGCACCACTGAGCAGGACTGGTGTGGTCAGAATGCACTCAATAGAAAGCATTCTCCCATCAGGGGAAAAGAGAAGACAACTTATAAAAAATAAGTCAAGACCCAGCATGAGGATGAGTAAGCAGGATTTGGGGGGCGGGAACACTAGGGCAGGCCTGAAAAGCCCCCTCGTTTTCCCTTATGGAACTGGAAATGGAGGGTAACATTCAGCTTGTTCCTCTCCCTTTCTGATGACAACCCACTATTACGGTCAGGTCCAGTAAGTATGCGCTCCCCAGTAGAAGCCAATGTCTAGGCCCCAATGCCGCCTTCATATTTCATAGACCTTATCTCCAGCAGAATGGAATGTCTAGCAGAAACTTTCCAGGCTCACACTATCAGGGTAAAGGGATCCGAATGTCACCTGGCCATTGGCAAACACTGGGATCTGGATTTAATCTTCTCTGCAAATGCAGAGAAACAAAAAAATTTACATATGGTTTGAGAGAACAGGCCAAGGGATGTGTCTGTCTGTGCACTAAAACACAGTGAGGTTATTTAGTAATACGGAATGTCTCCTTCCATAGGTTGTGGGGCATTTGCACAGCATCACAGGCATTGCCTTGGAAAGCATCGCTGAGCTCTCTTATGCAATCCTGACTCACAGTGTGGGAGCCAACACTCCTGCCCGACAGCGGCCGGCTCCTCCCCACCTGGAGCCCAGAGCTCTGAGGGCCTCCGCTGGCTCCAACACATGAGGTGCCTCCAACACATGAGGTGCGCTCAGCCCACCAAGTATAAACAGCCTTCCTCACCGCGCTCAGCCCTCCTTTTGTGTACTCTCCGACTTAGGATACAGAAGTTCCGAGTATCTTTTTGAACTATATTTTGTATTCTAACTTCATGCTCTTTTTTCTGCACCAGAGAGAGAGTTAAAGTTGACAAGCATGTCCTTTTCGCCGTTATCAAGACTGAAAATGTCAAGGAGCTGGGAGGAGACAGAACATTAGTGAAGTTGGTTCGTTTTTGTTTAACAAGATATTTATAACTTTTCCTTAACTGTTCACTTCATTGAGAGAGGACACCAGACATGGAAATAAGTATTAACCAGGGGCTTGAAAACTGGGACTGTTTGGGTGACCTTGACTGATCATCAAGGAGGCAGCCTTTATCTCCCCTTCAAGTTAGCTTAACATCTCTGTTCTGTCACTGAGATGTACACAAATGGGGCTTCCTCTACAGCTGACTATCTCCACGAGTCTTCTTTAAAAATAACACTAATCCATCTCTAAACATGTTTCGACAGAATTTCCACAAACTGCACTTGAACTCAACCCTCCCAGAATATAAAGTACTCTATCTTAGTCAACAAAAAAGCCCAACAGTACACCTCTGGGCAGTTACCAGACTGCAGTTAAAACTTTTATTACAAATAATTAAATCTCTGCATAATGTCTCAGACAATATCAAACACCATTTCATATTTCTAACAGAAAGCAGAGTAGGCAGTCAGCACGAGAACCAAGACAGGACAAGTGTTAAATCTCAAGCTTCTGATCACACCACCTGGTGACCAAAGCTGATGTGTCACTCTCTCACATTATCCAACTGTGTGTCTCACACATCTCGTCGTCTCAGTGCAGACAGAAGTTTCTAGTTCATATTTTAAGTGCAGGAAGTTGAGAGAGATAAAACCCAGTGAAAACACATCAATCTCAATTCAACTCCATTAACAACAACAACAAAAGCAAATTTAAATTAGTTTTGAGGGGAAGGGGGCAAGGGAGGTATGGGGTTAAGAGTCAAAACTATGACAAAGGCTGGTAGCTGTACAAGGCATGTTGTAGCTCTGGAAACTGTCACATGATATCCTAAAATAAAGTGGCTTTTGTGGATTTTTTTTTTCTTTTTTGGTATTGTAAACATGTGCTGTTTAATAGTACCCGAATTTAATTTAAAATACTTTTTTCTCTTTGCAAACAAAACAAAATTTAAAGCCTTTAAGGCAAACTTATCTTCCTCAGAAAAAAAAAAAGTCACTTGTTATAAAACTGTGAGGACACCCAAGCAAGCCCCCACTTGAGATTCGTCAGCATGAACTTGAGAGCTTTTGTCCACTGTTCCTCAGAGTTAAACTGGGTTTTGATGGAATAGGAGCCGCCACTGCCTCCTGTGTCTTCAATCTTGCCTTTCTCCACATCCATCCTGCAGACGGACACAGCAGAGCTCATGAGTGACTGAGATTCGAGTTAAGTCAGTTCAGGCAAATGGGCAGGGACTTGGTCATGGGACCATTCACGTCATTATATCTAGTAAAGAACTCCTGGCAAGGAATGGTAGTGTATTTTGGATTTGCTTGAAAGCCAAACATCAAGAAGGCTGTCACAAGAGCCTCATTGTCATTGCGGGGTACAGGGACAGGACACACACCCAAACAAATGAGAAGCCTGCAGCAGAGGGTACGTGGGGGTTATAGTACTCCTGACTGTTTTCCTAGGCATCCCTGAACTCACGGGGAGAGAAGGGAGGCAGAAGAAAAGAAATGCTTTGTTTTGGGGTGACAGAAGCAGCTTGGCCTTACCCTCTTGAACTAAGGTCTCCGTCTATCACTGGGATCTTATAAAATTTGACCAAAAGAAGCATTCTTATTTATTTACAAGGGCTTAAGGGGAAAAGCTTCCAGGAATTAGAGAACTGGTTTGACCTCTGTGCTAAGAAAATCCCCCCAAAGCCCTGAAGAGAATATTCTTTCTCCTCAGGGACCAAGTGGTCACATTCAGTCCTGCTAGGAATGTTGAATCCGTCTTTGCCCATCAGTGTCATGTGACTGCAGCATTTTCTGCTTTCCCACCATTTACACACTATGTTTTGCTTCCATTCTTACTGTCCCTTCAATTCTGCTCAATTTGGTCCTACTCCATGTTCATTCCACGTTAGGGGATACTGACCTGTAAGGAAGACAAAAACGTGTCTCGCCTTTCTCTACCTCTTCTTTGAACTGCTGCACACAGTCCAGGAAAGCCACCATGGCATGGTCAAACTTGTTGTCCCAGAAAAACCGCAACCCCCCAGAACAATATAATGGCAGCTCCTGGCCAGGAAGAGAGAGAACCAGCTAAGGGGGTGGCACTGAGACTGGCTACCAGCGATTGTTCCCAAGCCTAGCAATCCCTCGAGTGGTGTTCTGTCCGTATTCCACTGGAAAACAGTAAACTTGGGCCAATACGAGCTACCAAGAACTGCTTCACCATCACTGGAAATGAATTAAAACCCTTGATCTCACGGTGATCCCTTTCCCACCCCAGCATACATCACCTCTGATCTGCCCTTAGCCCTTTTCAACAGACTGTAAGAACCTACTTTGTGTCTCTAGGCCCCAAAGGGCTAATCCTGACCTAGACAAGACCCCGAACAAGACATGGGATCATGAGATACCTCTAAGAAAGAAACTAAGAAATGCTGTTATCAAAAGGAAACCATTCCCTCAGGAGGTACAAGGATTCTGCCTTCCAGTGAGAATGGGGCTTCCCAGAATACCTTAGATTTGTCTGTCAGAGACTCCAGATATGAATGGTTTCCATAGGGAACGAGTCGATACCTAAAATGGAGATGCACACGGAGACGGATACAGGACTCCTGCTGAAGTGATTACTGGAATGTTAGAACCCAGTGATTTTCAGGCTTCATCCTCCCAAGGACAACTTTTATTATTCCCACCCCTCTCCCTCATCTCCCCATAGACTCCGTGTTTAAAATATGTTGTTTACTGAGCCAACTACATTTATTATATAATTGGCTAGGGGGCCTTTCATTGGAACATGTAGGTTTTGTTTAGGCTGAAAAAAACAAAAGCTGAAAACAGCTTGAGGAACCACAAGGTTCTGGAGAAGCTGGGCTGGGGACCATAGCTCTGGCCATGCAGTTCAAGGACTGCTGGCTGAGTGGAGAGAGCCCTGGTGTAAGGGGGACGATGAGAAGCAGAGTCTCCACAGACAGAAAACCCTCAGTGTGCTGGGAGCAAGAGCTCCTGCCCCAGCAGAGGACTCCCCCGCTGGAGATACAGATTACATCAAGGACATGCCACACCCCAAGAGAGAGGGGCATTTCTTACCTCTGAAATTTCAGACCCATCTTATTGGCCAGGGCGTGGAGCAGCAACACCGTCTGGCCCCAGGCAGCATTGATCTCATTCCATTCCACAGGAACGCTGGGCAGGCGGCCCAGCCGGAAGTTATTGATAGTGCCAAACTGTCCGCTGTGCCTGGAGGAAGGCGGGACGGTGGGGGGAAACACAGGGAGACCTTAACACTCAGCAATTTGAGGCTTCCGGCTCGCACCTAAACCCTTGCATAAATCTCTCTCCTCATCTCCCCATTCACATACCTCAGCTCTACTGGGCACTTTATTTACTCAGTAAGCTCCGTGCCCAACGCAGGGCTTGGACTCATGACCTCAGGATCAGGAGCCACGTGCTCTACCAACCGAGCCAGCCAGGAGCCCCTCTACTTGGCACTTTAAATACACATCCAAACGTGAGTCGTCATCTTTCCGCCTGTGCTCAGATGCCAAAGTAGAAAGGGGGACATCATTCCTGAATGCTCCCTCTCTGTTCCCTCCCCTCAAAAAACACCAAGCCCTCTTGACTGGACTTCCTAAATCTCTCCAATCCATCCACTTTTTTCCAAACTCAGTGCCGCTGCTCTATCTTTTCCCACTTAGAGACCTACTGACAAGTCTCCTTACCACTGGCACTGCTCTCCCCCCTACCACCGCCAACACTTCCCACAGCGCAGGTAAAGCGACCACCCACAAATGCAAATGTAATTAAGTCACCTCCTTGCCTAAAGTGCTTCAGCGGTTTCTACTGCCCTTTGGATGAAGCCCAAATCCCTTCATGAGGTCTACGAGCTCCTTGGAGAACTGGTCACTCTCCAGTTTCATATCCTGTCACTCTCCCCTTCACACTCAATCTCCAGTCACAATAAGCTCCTTTCAGGTCTCCGGACTCACCACCCCCATGTTCCTCTGTTTCTTTGCACATGATGTTCCTCCGCCAAGAACAATCCCCCTCTGCAGGCTTCCCCTTCATGTCTCAGCTTAAACATCAACCTCCCCTGGGGCAAACTTTCCATGGGGCCTTCCCAAATTGCATCCAGTGCCTTTATACGGCCCCAGAGCTCCCCCCGACGCCGCCCCGGGGGTCACAGTCACCAAGCCGCATCACAACAGGCTATCACACAGACATCCCTTCCACGAGATTCTAAGCAACCAGAAGGCAGAACGCACGCTGTGTGCTATTGCCCTTTGGGTGCTTAACACGGTGCCCGCCATGTACGAGATGCCCAACAGATACTAGTCAAATGGAAAAAACGTCGAATAAATACATCAGTGATCCTAGGGGGAACACCTGGGCAGATGACAAGGTTTTTGTGGGACTGGGGGGCTCAGATCTTTTCCTTTCCTTGGGGGAGTGGACGTCACCAAGCTCTAGAGTTCCAATCCCGGAGGTGCCTATCCCATCACAGGGAACGAGAGCAGCCTGGATGGGGTGACTGTGTACAGTCCAACATGGTGGGAGGCGGACACCCCGGCCTGGCGGTCAGCAGCTAAGGTGCAGGCGTGCAGTGCTCCCCCGGCCCTCCTCACCCTCCAGCCCGCGTTACCAGATGTGGAAGGTTGCATTGAAGACATTGGTTTTCTTCAGCTTGTCCAGCTGCATCTGGGCATAGCGCATCTGGTTTTCCACGCTCTTCAGCTCATCGTCCAGCTCCAGCTGTTGTCGCTTGAATTCACTGTACTCTCGCTGGTACCTGTGAGCAGCAAGGGGGCCGCTGAAGGCTGCTGGTTCAGGACTGAAACTTCTCTCTCACCACCCGGCATAACAGTTCAGTCTGGTGGTTATGGGGAGACCTAGTTACAGCATCCTTTCCATTTGGCACAGATCCCATTCAAAGGAACATTCAGGCCCTAGTTGTTCTGCCTGCGAGGGACAGAAAGGTCTCAAATTCCAGCTGCCCACATGCAAAAGGTATAGGAAAACAGGACTTTCCTAAACCCGGGCCAAGCGCTTCTCATATTTCTGATCCTTTACAGAAGGGAGGTGAGGGGGTTACGAGTGGCTTTTTCCTTGAAATGACCGTAACTGAACTACCAGAACCTCACTTCTATGCACCTACCAGTCCTTTAGAGTTAGATACACCATTTCCAAGGGAACTTGCTCACTACTTTGAAAAAATTAATTTTTTCTCTGTCCATCACCTCCCCCACTTTAGTTAGTGCCACCACTGGGTCTCCTCCCCTGGACAGAGGGTTCTCTCAGGGCAGGATCACCAGTGAAATTTTGGGGCTAGGAAAGAACGAATGTAGGCCACCAAGCTCATCTTTCCATAGCAGGATGCGGATTGGGTGGCTGACTTATGGTTCCCTACACAATGGAAATGCAACTAGAACCCTCGTTTCTCCACTATTTAACCCAAACACTTTTTTCACTTACTTGGGCATGCGCCCTCATATAGAACCCTCTCAACAGACCTCAAGAAACAGGGCCTGAGGGACACCTGGGTGGCTCAGTGGGTTTGGCTCAGGTCATGATCTCAGGGTCCTGGGATCGAGCCCCGCATCGGGCTCTCTGCTCAGTGGGGAACATGCTTCCTCCCCTCTCTCTCTCTCTCTCTATCTGCCTCTCTGCCTACTTGTGATCTCTGTCAAATGTGGGATCTCCAGATCTGGAGCAGACAAGCTGCCAAAAGACAGGTGACTGCAGCTTACAAAGTACACAGACACATTCAGTTAGAAGCCACTTGTCCTGGAGCCTCGAGGCCAGGAAGACAGAGGAAGAGGGTGACCACTCACTGAGCTTCCTCCTGGTCCAGTCTCTCAGCCTCAGCCTGGACCTTCTCGAGATTTTCTGCCACCATCTTGCGGTTCTTTTCCACCTCTTCCAGCTCCTGGATCAGCCTCTCCTCCTCCAATGCCAGCTCCTTTAGCTCCATTTGTAGCTGTTCACTGTCGTCCTCGTTCATCTGCTCTAAGATCTCCAGACAGCGCCTGCCGAGCGCACAGGTAGAATATACTCACCGCAGGGAGCCCGTTATGCTGTTTACCCGAGCACAGCTCCCGGGTCAGAGCCAGGCCGTCTCAGCGTAGGGACAGCTCTTGCATCCAGACCTCAGGTTCCCGGCGCTGGCTCTAGAGGCACTCACTTGTAGTTCTGACACTCATTTTCGGTGACGTTGAGCTGAGTGTCGAGCTGGTCTAAGAGAGTATCTGTGCATTCCTCACATAGCGGGTGGTCCACATCGGTCTGGCCTGACATGATGTCAAAAAGGTCCCCAGTGACCTGGAAGGGTGGGGTGGGGGAGAGTCAGGGTAGGGCCTGGCGCCCGCGACCTGTCAGGCCACTGGCTCTAGGAGCCAGGCCTGCCGCTGCGACGCTGCCCACTTGCCTTCAGTCTTCGGCTGAGGTTCTCCATGGTGCCGCCGTCAGATGCCTCCCCGATCAGAGTGAAGCTGTTGGCACTTTCGGTAGACATCATCCTGCAGACAGCCCCCCGCCCACGGGCCACATGAGGGAGCAGAGAGGCCTCCTCCACCGACTGCTGTGTCAGTGGCAGGGACTCTCAAACACCGGCTGAGGGGTCTCAAGGCGCATACGCACTCCTAGCCCGACTGACCTCCCAAGGGTACCTCTCTCCCAAGGGAAGGCCATGCTGGTCTTCCACAGGGGCACTCAGCTCGAAGGTTGGCCTGGATGGACTAAGGAGGGGAGAGGGGGCATCAAAAACTGACATGTGGGTGTGTGTCTACAGCAGAAAAGGAAGGAGAATCAGGAAAGACCATTTTTAAATCTTATACCCCTCACCAGCAGCCTTCACATGCATCAACAACTAAGAACCTGAACGTCTAACAACACCTGCTACTCTAAAGCTTTTCAAGAGCCCATCTCTTTTATCATCATTCACTCCCAGACTTTCCTCTGTCCCTTCCCACTGTGTGAATGGCTACAGGGGAAACCAATACTGGAAAGGGCTGGGCCAGGTATAAGAGAATATATCTTTTCTGGAAGAGCCAAAAGGTTAAGTGATTTATCTCTACTACCTAGCTCCAGGTCTCAATTCTGGGTTCCATTAAAATTCTACTGGCCTCTGGCAAGAAACAGGGGGCTGGGGAGTGGTAGGCACCTGGCTGGGGGGATGAATCTGCGAGAGACACCATCCTGGCGAGTTTCAAGAAATGGCTCCTGGGAAGGAAATAAGAGGGCATTAGAACTCTGGCAGCTTGGAGGTGGGAGTCCCAAACAGTCTCAGAACTATCTGGTTTTACCCTTGATTGATAACTGCCGGACTTGATAAACCAGACACTTAAGAAATAGGTATTACCTAGCCCATCCTCAGATATGTGCACTAAGAGAGGACCCCGGTACAGACAAACCCCAAGTCCCATGTGACTTTTTGTGGGAGACATCTCCCTACTATGTTATACTCCATTGTAGTTAAATTTACATTTTCTCAACACTTCCCAGTTAGGGGTAGGGGAAGAATGCCTTGAAACACCACACAAGGAAAAAGCCGTATCAGACTGCAATGAAGTCTGCCACGGCATACAACAAAGTAGATAATTTATATGCTTTTGATACTTTGATATAATTTATGTGTGATCAAATACTTAGACATCTACCTTTGACAAAGAAAATTATCACTGATGTTATCACAGTTTAAAAATGACATGTTTGGGGTGCTGGGGGGCTCAGTAGTTAAGTGTCTGCCTTCAGCTCACGTCATGATCTCAGGGTCCCAGGACAGGGTCCCAAGTTGGACTCCCTGATCAGCGGGAAGTCTGCTTCTCCCTCTCCCTCTGCGTTCCCCAACCCCCACTCATGTGCACGCACTGTCTCTCAAATAAAATCTTTAAATAAATAAAAATGACATGTTCTCTAATACTGATGATCCTTTCTGGCTAGAGTAATCATATTCTAGTCCAAACTAAGCTACTTTTGAGAATGGAGAGGAGTGGATATTAATAATTAGCTAGGACAACAGATATAAACCAGGCATGCATTCCAGTGTTTCATACCTCTCCTGGGTTAGCCTCTTCCTCTTGGGTCTCTCCTGGTTTCACCTGGGCAGTGGCAAGTAATGGAGCTAAGGACAAGGAAAATATCAGAATTAGAAAGAGTCTTAACAAAGCTGGAGTGTGTATGAAAGTATGGGAAAACAAGAAAAAAAAGCCTCATCACCACTCCCACATCCACCTTTTCCTTTAAGTACCATCTGCACATAGATAAACCTTTTGTCTTCCTCCCCTTACCCCCATTAAATCAGGTTAAGGAATTTTTTTTTTAGATTAAGGAATTTTTAAAATTTTTCCCAATGTAATATCACGATTGTGTTTTTAAAAAGACATCGTAGCAGAACTGCCATCTTCCAGTAATTCGCTAAAATGACCAACACAAAGGGAAAGAGAAGAAGTACCTGCTGTACGTTCTTTAGGTCTTTTAGAAAACATGGAGTTGTTCCTTTGGTGACATACATGCGAATTTACAAGAAAGGTGATACAGTGGACATCAAGGGAATGGGCGCTGTTCAGAAAGGACTGCCCCAAAACGTTACCATGGCAAAACTGGAAGAGTCTACAATGCTACTCAGCATGCTGTTGGCATTGTTGTAAACAAACAAGGGCAAGATTCTTGCCAAGAGAATTAATGTACGTGTTGAGCATATTAAACACTCAAAGAGCCAAGATAGCTTCCTGAAGGCTGTGGCAGAAAATGATCAGAAAAGGAAAGCAAAGACAAAGGTACTTGGGTTCAAGTGAAGCGTCAGCCTGCCTCACCCAGAGAAGCACACATTGTGAGAACCAACGGAAAGGAGCCCGAGCTGCTGGAACCCATTCCCTATGAATTCATGGCATGATAAATGTAAGTAAAATAAAAGACCTCAAGACTGTAAAAATGTTTCTCTTGAGCAGAAGTATAGTGTCCTTTCCCCTCCAAAAATATTTAAAGCAAACTTTGTGTCCTAAAAAATAAAAATAAAAAACAAAAAGACATCTTATCTTTCAAAAATACTTACCAAACATTTATAGTATTTTTATGTTTGGGATTTCCTCCAAAATAATTAGGGGTGAGAGGGGAATAGATGGGGGTATAGATGAAACAGGATTTAAATATGCATTATTAATTGTGGAGGCTAGGTGATGGGTATGTGAGGTTCCTTTTATACTCTGAAGTTTTCCATAACAAAAATTAACATCTCCTCTCCTCCAGAATAACTTGGAAGGAACACGAGGGAACTTTCTGGGAAGATGAAACCTTTCTACATCCCAATGATCTGAGTTACACGAGTGTATCTGTTTTGTCAAAAATGCACAGCTAAGATTTGTACATTTAAAGGCATGACATTTTTGAAGATATGGAGAACACAAGAATGGCGAATGTGGCTTATCGTTGAAGCAGGGTGATGGATATGAGGGAGTTCACTATGCTATTCCCTTGACCGAATGATTGAAATTTTCTGTACTGAAAGGTTAAAAATATATTAAAGAGGGGCGCCTGGGTGGCTCAGTGGGTTAAAGCCTCTGCCTTAACCTCAGGTCATGATCCCAGGGTCCTGGGATCGAGCCCCATGTTGGGCTCTCTGCTCAGCGGGGAGCCTGCTTCCTCCTCTCTCTCTGCCTGCCTGTCTGCCTACTTGTGATCTCTGTCTGTCAAATAAATAAATAAAATCTTAAAAAAAAAAAGAAAGAGAAATTGGTAGCAATGATAACAGCTAACACTTGAGTACTATTTCATATATATATTTATATATATATATACATAATTCATATATATATTTCATATATATATAGTACTATCATCATATCCAATCCTTACAATTACCCTAAGGTCATTTTACATTTTACAGATAAAGAAACCAAGAAACCCGGGCTGAAAAAGTAAAAGTAACTTGCAAAAAGCCATCCAGCTAATAAATGACACTTATGATTTAAATCCAAACAGGCTGACTCTGGACCCAAGAGCTTATTTAAACTACCTATTCAGTCTTTTCTTTGTTTTGTCTCTAACTTCATCTCACTTCTTGGACTTTAAGACACTGTTCCTCCATTTACCTAATGTTGGCTACCGGATAAGTCACTTAACCTCTCTGAGCCTCAACTCCTCAACTGTAAAATGATGACTGTACTCCTCCATTGGAGTTGTTGCAGGGATAAGTGATATAATGCATGTGAGGCACTTATTATATGGTAAGGCCTCAACAAAAATTGTTTATTATTATATATACATATTCCTTTACTCTGAAACAGTAAGAGCAGAAAACTAAGGACCCTTCCTTAAAATAGGAAGCTCTCAGAAGCACACACTGTCAGAACTCCTTCATGCTCCCGACTAGAAAACGGGGAGCCCGAGAGATGAAATGACTTTCCTAAATTCACAGCAAGTTTGTGGCAGATTACAAAGACAGCCACCTTAAGACCTACAGCTCCAAAGCTGCCCTTTTCCCACGATCTTGACCACCCTCTTTCCAAGGGTCTCCCTGACCTGTGAGCTCCTGGATGGTGACACGATCCAGGATCTTGAAGCTCGTGTCCAGTTTCAGGGGCTGGCTGCAACGCTGGCACACGAAGCTCACTTGCATGGTGCTGCTGGAAGTTTTAGACCCCTCCATCCCTGCGGCGGTAGAGAGGCGATGTTAGGTTGAATCAGCGCCCTTGAACTCTAGGTCCGGGGCTACCACCTGCCTTGCTGGTATAGTGAAGGGGGGAAATCCTCGCCCACGCCATTCCCTGTAGAAGCGCTCGGATATCAGGCGGACCCGTTTCCGGGAAAGCCCTGGCAAAGCCAGTTTACCAGCCCAGAGTCTGGGAGCGGCTTCGACAGGGGCCGTCAGGGTTCCCAGGCTCACTTCTAAAGCCCCGGTTCAGCCCCCGAGCGTCACCTCGGGACTCGGAGCCCGCAACCCTGGTCGGTCTACCGCGGGGGCACCGTGGCGTCAAGTCTCGCCGGGAGCGACGCCTCCAGACCTGCCATAGCACAGCCTTCTGATACTTCCCTGTCGGCCAGCAGAGGACTTCCGCCCGGACAGGACGTGACGTCATGACCGCCTTGCTGTGGCTTGGGTGGTCGGTCGGGCCGTACTTGCTTAGCCTCCACCTAGAGGCTGAGCTGGGAAGCGCGGCAGGCGTTAGCGGGTGGGCAATAGTAGTGAGGAAGAGGCAAGGACCGAGTTGGAAAAGAAAGAGGAGCCTCACCCAATCTGTAACTCTGTGGCGTTTCTTTAGATTTGTTACTTCTGAGCGGAACCACTTTAATTCTTCTTGAAGTATCAGTTTTAAAACTTTCTCCTTGGGAGAGCTGGGCTCTCTTTCAAATGCCCCTGAAAAAGTGGTAGACGCACTTGGGAGGGGAAGGTGAGGAGGTAAATTTTATCCTGTTCTATTTTATATTTTAAAATTTTAGCTATTTATTAGGGAAAATAAAGCGTTTCAGATATCAAATATCCAGTTATTGAAATTATAAAACTAAAACATTTTGTCTTGGTGCAGGAATAGACCACAATCAATGGAACATAATATAGTTCAAGAATAGACCAAGTTTACAGGGGTTTTAGTATATTGTAAAAGCTTGTATTTCAAATCAGTGGGGAAATGAGCTACTTAATAAGTGATGACTGGATCCAAACAGCCATGTAGAGAGCAGAGAGCTGAATCTCTACCTCCCTGTTTACGCCGAAAGAAGCTCCAAGTTGGTCACAAATTTAAGAATCAAAAACACAATAGTTAAAGGTACTAGATGAAAGCATTAGTGAATATTTTTTATAATCTTGGAGAAGATCTAAGTATGATGAAAATCAAAAGCAAAGAGGAAAATATGGAATTCTACTCCTTAGAAATTAAAGCTTTCTGAACTGTCAATGACACTGTAAAAAAAAATTTACAGAAGAAAAATGTAGAAAATAGTTGTGGCTCATAAGACAGGTGAGTTTCCTCAATATACAGAGATCTATTCGATCAAAATACAGAACTTTATTCAAAAAAACCACCAAAGACCAGTTATGAAATGGGCAAAATATATGAAAAAGTGAGCTCGAGAACAACAAATGATTGATAAAGAAACAGATGTTTCATTTCATTTGTAATTAAGTCAATGGAAGTTAAATGGGGCAGCATTGTTGATTTATGAGATTGGTAAAGGCTAAACTAGTTGATAACATTCAATGCTGATGAGCATTCATGAAACTCTAAAATGACATCGGCTGGGAATGTAAATTAGTATAATCTTTTCGGAGGTCAGTTTGGAAACATCTATCAAATTCTTAAATGTTCATATTCTTTGACTCATAAAATATCTTTCTAGGAATTTACCTAATAGATATACAAGTGCACAAATATATACGTCCAAGAATGTTCACTGCTCAATGTCCTTCAGCCATAGAGGATTGTTTAAATAAATTATGGTATTATTCATTCAGCAGAGTACTATGTAGCCATGAAAAAGAATAAAGTAAAATTGCTTTTTTTTTTAAAGATTTTTTGTTCATTTTTTTGACAGAGATCACAAGCAGGCAGAGAGGCAGGCAGAGACAGAGGAGGGAAGCAGGCTCCCCGCCAAGCAGACAGCCCGATGTGGGGCTCGATGCGGGGCTCGATCCCAGGAACCTGGGACCATGACCTGAGCCGAAAGCAGAGGCTTTAACCCACTGAGCCACTCAGGCGCCCCTAAAATTGCTTTTTATTTGGTCAGTTTGGCCACTTTGATAATAGTCAGAAGAAGGGCAAAGGTGGCTATAGGGAGACTAGCTAAGAGGTTTCTCCATGAATTGAGCCAAGAGGTGTCAATCGAAATAAAAATCATAGGCAGTATACATGGTATGATTTTATTTGTGTAAAAAATAACATGACATATGATATGACCTGTGTTACGTGGACAATGGGACAGAGACTTTTTCTTCTACTTAAGGCAAGTTTGTACTGCTGGATTTTTTTTTAAATAAGCCTACAATTCATTTACAAGATCAAATCTTTATAGGAAGATGATTTTTTTAAAGAAGGTATTTATTTATTTAACAGAAGGAGCAGGCAAGCACGGGAAGGGGGAGCGGCAGAGGGAGAAGAAGGCCCCCCTACAAGCAGGCCCCCTGCTGAGCCAGGAGCCTGATTTGGGGCTTGATCTCAAGACCCTGGGATCATAACCTGAGCTGAAGGCAGTCACTTAACTCACTGAGCGACCCAGGTGCCCCTATAGGAAGATAAAATAACAAATACAGGAAGTTAGGGAATAGTGTCATAATGTTACCCTTAATCTCACCACACTGTAACTTTTATGGTTTCCATTCAGATGTATTTTTCCTGTGTACTTTAACAGTTGTATTTGTATTTATAATCTGTATGTAATTTTTGTATCCTGTTTTTAAAATTTAATGTTACATATTATATTTTTCATTTTGCTACACAATTTTTGTAATTGCCATTCTCATATGCTGCATTATGTTACATCAAATGAGTGGCTTTAATGTATTTCTTCTTTGCTGGAAATTTCCATTGTTTCCAGTTTGGGTGATTACAATAATGCTGCAATGAAAAGCTGACTGCTTCCTTGTGTTAGAGTCTCACAATTGGGATTATTGAATTAAAAGAGCATGGGTATTTCATGTCTATTGACTAACATTAGCAATTGCATTAGAAAGTGGTTGCACATAATTATATTCTCCCCCCAGTAGCATATGAGAGAGTCTGTTTCACAATACCCTGGCCAGATATTAGATATCATATATCTGATGAATAAGGGCCAAAAAAAAAAAAAATGGCACTTCCCTGTTATTTTCACTGGCATTATTGGTTACTTGTATATATTGGCTTGCTGTAGTTTCTCTTTTGTGAATTTTGTTTGCATCTTTTGCTCATTTATCTGCTAGGTTCTTAACATTTTTCTTAATATTTTCCATCAATTTATGCAACTTCTATTTAATTAAGATGTTTTCCAGATGTGCGAAAGTTTTACATTTTTATAAAGTCAAATCTGCTTTTTTTTCCTTAAGATTTTATTTATTTATTTGAGAGAGAGAACATGAAAGGAGAGAGGTCAGTGGGAGAAGCAGACTCCCTGCCGAGCAGGGAGCCTGATGCGGGACTCAATCCCAGGACTCCAGGATCATGACCTGTGCCGAAGGCAGCTGCTTAACCAACTGAGCCACCCAGGCGCCCCAAATCTGCTTTTTTTCTTGGTGACTTATATTGTTTAGAAAGTTGTTTCCATGGGATAAATAAATATTAAAATGAAATTTAAGATGTTTGAAGATTTTATTTATTTATTTGAGAGAGAGTGGGAGAGAGAGCACGAGCGCGGGAGAGCAGAGGGAGAGGGACAAGCAGATTCCCCACTGATCATGGAGCCTGAGATCGTGACCAGAGCTGAAATCAAGAGTTGGACACTAGGACAAGAAGTGAGGAAGTGGAGGGGCACCTGGGTAGCTCAGTTGGTTAAGCATCTGTCTTCTGTTCAGGTCATGATCCCAGATCAACCTCCACATTGGGCTCCCTGCTCATCGGGCTCCCTGCTCCCACTCTTCCCTCACCCCCTCCTCCCTGCTCGTGTTCTCTCTCTTTCTCTCTCTCTCTCTCAAAAAGATAAAATAAATAAAATCTTCAAACAACAGCCACAACAAGTGAGGAGATGGAGAAAAGCATACTCATATAGGATGCATTATACAGGTAAAGCTAACAGGACCTGCTGATGAATCAGATGTGGCAAGAGGAAGGAAAGAGAGGAATCAAGGTTGACAGTTCAATGTTGGTTTGAACAACTAAGTGGGTAGTTGTCTTTTACTGATATGAGAAAGGGCAGGAAAATAACAGGTGTATGGAAGAATCCATAATCCTGGTTTGGCCACATCATGCTTCAGATGTCTATTCGTTACCCAAATAGGAATGTCAAATAGACAATTGGAGCTCAGTGAAGATGTCAGGACTGGAGATACAAATTTAGAATCATCTGCATACAGATGGTATTTATAGCTATGAACATGGGTGATACCTCTTAGGGAGAAAGTGTAAGAGGAGAATAATAAAGGATGTAGGACTAAGCCCTGGAGCATGCCACCATTAGGAAGTAAGCAGTGGAGAAAGACCCAGCAAAGGGAATAGGTCATCAGTGAGGTTGGAGGAATGTTGGAAGAACAGCTTGCCATATAAGTGGTTAGGGGTGCCTGGGTGGCTAAGTCAGTTAAGTGTCCAACCCTTGATTTTGGCCTATGATTTTTGGTCATAATGGTAGGGTTCTGAGATTGAGCCCCATATTGGGTTCCAAGTTCAGTGGCGAGTCTGCTTGAGATTGTATCTCTCCCTCTCCCTCTGGCCCTTCCCCTGCTCACACACTCTCTAAATAAATAAATACAATCTTTAAAAAAAATTTTTTTAAAGTGGAGTGGTTAATGTGTACCACCCAGAAATGCAAGATGAAGAGAGGTAACCCCTGGTGCTATCAGTATGGCAACTGGTAACCTAACAAGAACTATCTCAGTGAGAACATGGGGTGGGAGAGCCTGATTGGAGTGGACTGGAATGAATGGGAGATGAAGTAAAGTAAGAGACAATAATATCATTCAAGAAATCTTGGCATGGAGAAGAGCAGAGAAATGGAGTGATAGCTACAGAGGAATCTGGGTCCATTTTTCTCAAGATGGGAGAAATCTATCATGTTTGGAAATGATCCAACAGAAAGAGATAAATCTAACATGGGGGAAAAAATGGATAATCACAGGAGCAGAGACCTAGAGAAAGTGAAGTATATGGGATCCAATGCACGAAGAGTTGGTTTTTGATGGGAACAGGGTCTTTCCTTTAATGAAAGAGGAGGAAAGGCAGAAAGTACTTATGGGCTGGCAAACTTAGTGGGGAGAGGAAGTTCTCATTTGCTTCTGTCTTCTCAATGAAGAATCAGCCAAAATCATAAATTGGATGTGGTGGTGGAGGAATTGTCGAGGATTAAGGAAATGAGAAAGCACCACAGTCATTTGGAGTGTGTGAGAGTACACTTGTCAGGGACAAGTAATAGGTTCTCTGCAGTGTT